ATATAAAGTATTGAGTAAGATTTTGAATTCTCTGATTTCATTCAAATTAAGCTATCTGATTGCAGATTGATTTTACTATCAAACTACAATATATATGCACATCTAATTACTTGAGCTTTACAATTGTTGAATATATTATTTGAATTATATCTATTAATGAACTTTTTACCAAAACGAATAAATTTGGATGTTGATGTAAATTAATTAAGTATGAACCTTGTCACATGAACAAATTTTTTTATCAAATTGTTTTAATTAAGATGCTTTTGAATGAAAACAGTTTTACCTTTTATTGTCTCTCAACAAAAAAACGATATCTCAATCAAGTTTTAGTATGAATCTACTTTCTTTGGAAAAAGAATTTATTGATTAATTTATTTAGTCTAAATAGGTTATTCATTATGGTATGTGAGTATTGTAGGGATGAAAACGCTCCTTAAATTTAATATTATTTCAAGAAAAAAACTATCTTTAAGCTATCATATAGAAATCAAAATTTAAAAGATGAAGAGTTTCTAAATAAATTTTATTTTAATCTTTTATTGATTTGCCTAATCCAATTAATGATTTTATTCTATTAGAGATGAATAATATTTTTATTCCCAAAATTTAAACAATAACAACTTCTTTTTTATTTATTGTTCTTTTAAAAATCTACTTCTATAACATAATTGTTTTTTTTTTATTTTTACATAAAAATGAAGGTTTATAAATATTAAATGAAAAGGTCCTATTAATCTATATAAGGGATGAACTGTAATATTTTACAATTAATATTCTCGACTCTAAGATATAGTAGGTAGCTTTGCCTGTCTTTCTCTATGAAAGTTTGATTTATTTTTTATTTTTTAATCATTTATTAATATTTTTAAAGAGGTATTGCATAACTTTTCATGCAAAAAATAAATATATAGACAAATACAAAAAATATAAAATATGAACAGTCCCATATTTATTTCATAATAGGAACATTAACTTAATTATTAACTTTTGTATATAGGCCTTAAAATCCTTTTTAAACATATATATGTAATATTTCTTAAAAGGAATTAGTACTAGTATTATTAAACTAATAAGCCATTGATTAAAGGGCAATTTGAAAGAAAATTATTTTTGATAGAAGGAAATCATAAATTGTTGCTAAACAATAACCTCTGAACCAAAAAACTCATTAAACGAAATATTAATTTTTATTTGTTCTTTTTTTACTAAATAAAAGGAAATAGTTTTTTCTATATATAAATAATTGGAAAAAGAAAATATATAGAATTTTTGAAAATTAAGTAGAAACATACTTCAAAAGTATTTTATAATTTTATAATAATTTATTTAAATATTATAAATGTTAATCCACAACATTTTCCATTTTTGGAGTTAAATCTCAATAGGTTATTTTAATATATAAATAGGAAATATATTGGAAATTTATTTTATAAATCCTTCGCCGTTTACTTTTTAATTTAAAGTTTAAATTGATCAACTTTAAGATAAAAATTGTTTATAAAAAGTCAAAATGTGTTAGAAATTTTGAAATTTTATGAACTTTTAGCAAATACTTTTTACACTGGTAGGATTTTAATTATAATAGATTAAACAATAAAAAAGTTATCATCAATACATTAAATAGGAATTTGAATTTTGACTAACTTGTATTTTAAGGAATTAATTTTTATTTTTAATCTGTATATGAGTATTAATTTAGAGCAGAATCATTTTACTAATTTAGAATGCATTAATAATTAAAATTTAGTTTTAGAACGATTCCTCAGCATTTACAAAAAATTATAAGGTTAATGTATTTTACTAATTATCAAATTTATTAAGAAATAATTTATCAGATGCTATTCAATTAATTTCAAATCTTTCTAATGAATTTAAATAGATTTTGCGAAATTTCTAGATAATATTGATATCTAACCTTGAATCTTTAAAAATCCCATTTTCTATGTATCTTTACAAATGGGTTATTTTATCTATCTTTATTAAAGATATATAAATCTGCATTATATTTCTGCTTACAATAATTATAATAAAAGAAGTGTCAAAATTGATCATATTAATAATAATAAAATCAAAATCCAGTTCTGTTGATCTCATCGGCTTTATATTTTATCTCCTTCTTCATAAATCTTTTAATCCATTGGCATGACCATTCCTTATAGGTTAGAAACTAAACTACTCTCCAATATTTACTCTTGTTTGGAGGAAGCCAGCTGTCTCAACATATTAACAATGCGGAGCTCTTCTCATTTATAAGTATTATCCAAGTGTTTTAAGTCTGCCTTTTTGTCCTACCATTTAGAGGTTTAATGAGTAAATAAAAGTTATTTTAATCTTTATATTTATCGTCTTCAATTTGCTAACTAACAGTGAAAATTTTTAAGAATACAACTTTGCTACAATTATTAATACAAAATATAATATCTATTTTATCTGACTGAAAAAATCATCTTTCATCCAATTTAATATTTTCATTAAAAACATTTTATTTTATAAGAAATACACTTGAAAGTAAAATGATATTTTGATATTCTTTGAATTTAACTCAATCCTTCAAGATTACACTTATTTTTTTATTTTTTTGAACTAAATTATCTTACTTAACTTCTAATTCTATATTTCTTAGCCACAGATCACTCGTTCAAGAAATTTGGGGACTTTTCTACATATTTAAAATTAATTGGACTCTTCTGTCTTCTATTAAAATCAATTTTCAGTTTTGGCTCTTACATAGAAATTTCTATAACCTTTCTATATCCTCCAACTGGCTATATTCTACACAATTTCAAAGATGTTTATTTAGTTCAATCCTTTATAAATTTTACCGTTTATGTCATAATATTCCCTATAACCAATAAATTTATCTTCCTTTGAATTCCCTAAATGAACATTTCCATAATAAATAGTCTAATTAATCCTTTTGTTAAATAATTTCTATCTCTTTCATTCTGATTTATCAATCTTTTTATACTATATAAAATTATTAAGCATTTAATTTAAATGAAATTCGAATTTAGTATAGATTATAAGACTTTAATATTTATTTAAGCTCAAAATCTTATGAACAGTATCTAAACAACAAATTAAAATAAATCATGTAATTGAGAATAATAAAAACATATTATTTCACATACAGTATTAATACTTCAATTCAGGCATAATTGAATTAAATAAAAGATAAAAATAAAACTATATAGTTTAATAGATAATATCATTTAATAAAGACTATTCTGAGAAATCCATTGTCTTGAAATTAATGACTTTTAGATAAAATATTCTCTAGTTTTCTTTAATTATAACAAGGATTATATGATAATTATTGTACTATGATTCAAGATGAATTAAATATCAACTCATTCTTCTAAATCTGATTTTTTGATTTGATGTCCTTCTATATATTGCAAAGTCAATAAATTAAAAGCAACTTCTCCTAATATAATACTTTTTATTACTATTTAAGACCTATTATAAACAATTATAAATAATCTCGATTCTAAGGTTAAGAATATAATTAATCAGTTTGGGTATAAATCACCCTCTAATATTTATTTAGAAAATACGATGCAATTTTATTTAGAGGGTGACTTAAATAAATAAACTTGAAATGATTTTATATTGAATAAAAAAGAATCATCATTTCATAACTGAATGGGGTGTATTTTTATACTTGAGTTATGGATAAGTTGAAAAATTGAAATTAACTATTTTACTTTTAATTATAAAATTGTTTTTATAATTGAATACTAGATGTTTCATATTGTTTAGATAACTTGATTTTTTGTGATTACAATTCTATTGAAATCAGATTAAATTTATAATTTAGGGAGGTAGTGGAATAAAATGTGTTTAAAAATAATTAAAGAATGATCTATTCCTTTATTCCAATAAGATTCTCTTCTCTTAATATATTCAGATTACTACTCTGCAAAAAATGTAAATTCGAGATTGTTTATTTTGCCTATTGCTTAACATTTAATTATATCCCTTAAAATTGGACTTCGTTTATAATTTAGGAGGATTTATAACATATTTATAAAATATTTAGATTAATATTTTCTTTAATTTGGCAACTTTTTAACATAATAACCATATTCTAATGATAGTTTAATGATATTGAATGCTTATCCTATAATACTAATCTTGATTCTGGCAGCTAAAGTTAGGAGCAATTTGCTTATTTAAAATATTGAATTTCTGAATAAGATGGAAATTTTGGAAAGGCTTAACATTTTTATGGACTTTAGATGATGGATCTTACTTTTATTTATATATTAGATTATAGTTTTCTGTTGCTTTTATTTTTGAGTTTTATTTGAAATATAAAATTATTAAAATTATAAGATAAAATCTAAAGAGATTCTCTAAAATTATGTTTTATTTTCATTACTCATCCTAATATTATTAAAAATAAGAACAGTTGCAGTGAATATTTATTCAAATTGCTTCCTGATCTATTTTTTGGTTATATAAATTTAAATCAAATGAGAAAAATAAAAAATATGATGAAATGGGAAGGGTTATTCCAATAATAACTAAGAATTAAGATCACTAAAAAAAAAATAATTTAATTAATTTATTTTGATTTTAAATTATTGATTGAAAGTTCAATATATTAATTGTGTGATGTAAAGCAATTCAAATTTATTAAAAAACTACTCTTTTATTATTAGGCTGTCAATATATTGTAGGTATTTTAAAAAAAAAAAATTACGTTTTAATCTATTTACATTAAGTGACCTCAATATATTGAAAAATAAATCATATCTGGATCTAGTTGTGTATAAGTTAATTTCATGTAATAATTTGATTAAAAGTTAAAAAAACATCATACAGATGCTATTCCTTTTATAATGTTATATCTTCTATCAACAAAGAAAAGATTATAAATGGAGTATTAATAAAATCAATGGATCACAAATAACCTTCTAAGATAAAAACTATATTACTATTTCTAACTTAAAAAGTATAAGTTGATTATCCAGAACCAACTATTTACTTCTAAACCTAGAAATGTTATGCTCTCTATGGAAATATATAGATTATCTTAAAACATCGAAGGCCTTAATTTTATTAAATAAAAGATCATCTACTTATGAGTGAGATGAACAGATATTAAAATTTAAGAAAACAAGAATTTAATAGAAAATAATTATTTTCTTTTAGTAATCAAGGATTATTTTGACTGCAATTATTTAATAACTTAGCTAAGGAACTTATATAAAATTGAGAATAACCTTAAATTTTATTTATGTTTTCCATTATTATTTTATATTGGCTATAACTAAAAATAACTCTAATAGAAATTTTTAGAAATCCAATGATTTTTGCTAAATATTCTTTTAAGGAAACAATAGCAAATAAAAGAATTTAAATAGAATTTTAATTAATATCAATAGAAATCAATTAAATTAATTAATGATAGCTGATTTTGAAATAGGTGATAATTCTTCAATATAAAAATAGTAATATTGTGATTTATATTTATGAAAGTTTAAGAGAATATATATTCTATAATTATTTAATAAAGTCATTTATTCATTCATCAAAATTCTTAGATATTAAAAAATAGTCCAAACTTAAAGGAAGCCTAGCATCTAGCATGCTGAAAGGCAAATATTGATAAATTTTGTAAAAAATATAGATAATTCAAATTTAATGAAAATCAACTTTGTGAAATGTTCAGATGATTAATTATTTCTAGTTATGTATAAATTTGAATCTAATTACAGAAACTTGAGGAATAGAAAAAAAATTATGAAGAAGAATTTTTGATTCCATTTTAGAATGATTTTGAAATCCTACTAAGGAAAAAGCATCCAGAGGAATTTCAAGCCTGAAAATAAATTGGTTAAATTTGAGAAACTAAGAAAACTGTGATAAATTTTATTAGTATATTAACTTTAAGAGTGGCATTTTAATAAATTTTTGAATAATCATAAAATTGANAAATTATTGATTGAAAGTTCAATATATTAATTGTGTGATGTAAAGCAATTCAAATTTATTAAAAAACTACTCTTTTATTATTAGGCTGTCAATATATTGTAGGTATTTTAAAAAAAAAAAATTACGTTTTAATCTATTTACATTAAGTGACCTCAATATATTGAAAAATAAATCATATCTGGATCTAGTTGTGTATAAGTTAATTTCATGTAATAATTTGATTAAAAGTTAAAAAAACATCATACAGATGCTATTCCTTTTATAATGTTATATCTTCTATCAACAAAGAAAAGATTATAAATGGAGTATTAATAAAATCAATGGATCACAAATAACCTTCTAAGATAAAAACTATATTACTATTTCTAACTTAAAAAGTATAAGTTGATTATCCAGAACCAACTATTTACTTCTAAACCTAGAAATGTTATGCTCTCTATGGAAATATATAGATTATCTTAAAACATCGAAGGCCTTAATTTTATTAAATAAAAGATCATCTACTTATGAGTGAGATGAACAGATATTAAAATTTAAGAAAACAAGAATTTAATAGAAAATAATTATTTTCTTTTAGTAATCAAGGATTATTTTGACTGCAATTATTTAATAACTTAGCTAAGGAACTTATATAAAATTGAGAATAACCTTAAATTTTATTTATGTTTTCCATTATTATTTTATATTGGCTATAACTAAAAATAACTCTAATAGAAATTTTTAGAAATCCAATGATTTTTGCTAAATATTCTTTTAAGGAAACAATAGCAAATAAAAGAATTTAAATAGAATTTTAATTAATATCAATAGAAATCAATTAAATTAATTAATGATAGCTGATTTTGAAATAGGTGATAATTCTTCAATATAAAAATAGTAATATTGTGATTTATATTTATGAAAGTTTAAGAGAATATATATTCTATAATTATTTAATAAAGTCATTTATTCATTCATCAAAATTCTTAGATATTAAAAAATAGTCCAAACTTAAAGGAAGCCTAGCATCTAGCATGCTGAAAGGCAAATATTGATAAATTTTGTAAAAAATATAGATAATTCAAATTTAATGAAAATCAACTTTGTGAAATGTTCAGATGATTAATTATTTCTAGTTATGTATAAATTTGAATCTAATTACAGAAACTTGAGGAATAGAAAAAAAATTATGAAGAAGAATTTTTGATTCCATTTTAGAATGATTTTGAAATCCTACTAAGGAAAAAGCATCCAGAGGAATTTCAAGCCTGAAAATAAATTGGTTAAATTTGAGAAACTAAGAAAACTGTGATAAATTTTATTAGTATATTAACTTTAAGAGTGGCATTTTAATAAATTTTTGAATAATCATA